TTTTAAGCAAATGTTTTAGAGACTGTGTAAACTCCATGCTCCGGTGTTCTGTCTGATCAACATATGCTGTCAGATATATACATATATAAATATCTAAATCTCTCTTTCTATATATATGTCTCTATATAGATATATATAGATATATATGTGTCCATTTTACATATATATATATATGAAATAGACAACTTTATCGTTACTTACTATGTACACCGGAACTAAGGATACACAGCTTCGAGCCAAAACGGAGGTTGTGTGACGTCATGTGAAAAGGGTCTATTGGAAATAAAAGAAAAAAGCGCCCATTAAAATGCCCTAAAGAGCCCCCTGGTGGTTGAAGAAAAATTCACATATAAGCCGCAAGATTCAAAACTTAGGAAAAAAGTAGTGGCTTATAGTCCGGAAAATACGGTATATGAAAAAAAATCTAAATGCTCTCTGGTATTGTCGAGGTGGCCGGACCAAATGTAGAGGCGGACAGGTTTGGGTACCACTGCTATACAGGATATCACCCAGAATGCGCCGTCACCACAATGAGACACGGTGGCAGCGTTAAGAGAGAAGGGATGTAGCAAATAAAGCTGCTAAGAAATACAGAGGATTACAGACTTGAGCCGCTTCTCAGAGACCAAGACAGGAAAGTCTTACTGCCACAGACAAGAGCCAGAATCAAAATCTTCTATTAGCCCCTTAAGATGACAGAGTTTCTGAAGTGTCAATTTTATCGCCTTATTTTAATCTCTCTATCTCTTCTTCAGAGCTAGACATGTTTGAATTAGCATAGGGAGGCCACAAACCGATTTCTATCACTTCACTGCACTTCTTTGCTCTGAGATCCTGTGCGGATGCGGTCCAGGCGTCTGCGCTAAAACACATATGGACACTGGTAGTTTTGCAATGAATGATTTCCCTGATTTTATAAAGACTTTTCCTGGATATTTAGTGAAGTTGCACCGTTGGCTTGGATCTCTCTAAGAATGTCCATGTTAAACTGACCCAGCAGAGGAAGTGGATGGTCTGTCTGCTGTCACCAGCATGTTTTTGCTGAGCTTTTCTTCTGCAGGTCAGTCAGAGTTTAACCAGAGTTAAATACGGGGAAGTCAGCATGCAAAAAGATTTGAGACACATCGAGGCATAGATGTTCCTTCCAGCAGGACTTAAACATGCAGCCAGAGCTACAGAGGGGGGTGTAGCACATAAAATTAAAAGAAAATCCATTGAGGATGGAATATGATCAAAAAATAAAATAAAATAAAAACTTCTATGAATGAATACTTTTGCAAGTCTCTATATTTTTACACTTCTCTCTCAAGTTTTGCAGTGTTATTCCTGAGCCATCATCGACTGAATCCCACGGGAATCCACGGGATCGTGGAATTCCGTGGGATTCCCACAATCTCAAAGGAAAGAATTTGAGAAAATGGAACCAAATACTGGCAGGGGTGGAAAAATGGTTCTACTGTATTGCACAATGACTTAAAACTGAAGAAGGCAAGAAAACCCCCCACCCCCAGCGGAACAGTAAATGCGGACACATCAGTTTGGACATGAACTCGTGATGGAGTGAATGGAGGAAATGAAAGCAGGTCTGGAGAAGTGGAGACAAAACGGGCGTGTGGAAAGGAGTCCATGGATGAATCTCAAGCCTCTGTGGGATCTTTGTTGAGACATCATAATGGAGCAGACAACTTGAAGACGAGTCATATCCTGTTCTCTCTGCATCCAACGTTGCTTGAGGGAAAATAAAAATCAATGTTCGTCTTTTATTGCAGTATTAGAAAAAAAGAAGCATTAATCTCCCTTTTAAATCAAGAACGCATCAGAAATGCTTCAACTTTAAATTTACATCAAACTCACTGTCTTAAATGGACAATTTTTCCTTTTTTTTATTGCAGTTGGATACGCAGAACAGAAAGAAAAGGACTCACAAATGATTTACATTGTGCCTTTATTTAAAAAGATGTTCTTTATTGAGGAACAAAGCCTTTTAAGCATGGTTTGTAAAATGTAGAAAAAGGGAAAATAAAATCATTGCCAAATAGCCGGAACGGTTTGGTTTACTTCAGAACGGGATCGAGTCAGAGCCAATGGAGGAAGCTGCGTCCGCTACAGCAGCTCCACTTTTTTTTTTTAGAAATTCATGCAGATTTTGTGAGAGGCAGATTGCCCCACTTTGTCTGAAATAATAATAATAATCATAAAAACATTTCATTTTATACAAAAATAAAACTGTCAGAAGAGAAGCAGATAATTAATCACTTTGATTACAAAACAACGATGGAAAAAAAAAAATCACACTGATTACATTCTCTAACACAATTATTCAACAATGCAACCACAGGGCAGCTTCTCGTCCAACCTGGCCAGTATAATTCATAATTATGTAACAGAAGCATGCATAGTAAAGGTATGAAATGGAGACACTAGTGTGCGGAAGCTACAACGACAACCACCACAACATAAATGATGCCAAGGACGAAGGATCCGAGCCCGAGCCCCAGAGCCACGTGGTTCAGCGTCTTGGCGGTCCTGCTGTTCCTCTCTGCAGACATCTGGTCACCGGTGTGGTTGGCTTCACGGGCCTGCAGGCAAAAACAAACAAAAAAAATACAATAAGAAGGAAGTAATGAATAAAATAAAACAGGCACATACAAGATGCAGTACAATCAGAGTTTTGAAAGTAAATCTTATTTCTACGGTATAAAAAGGAAGAATATTAAACTGCTGCTTCATTCAGTCAATGAGTTTAATGGTGCAACAAGAGGAACATCTCATTTCCCCCCACTCCTTTTTTTTTGTAGAGACTATCTTTTACAGACACTGCAAGGGAACCAGACCCACCGCAGCGTTTGCCTGAGCTGCCTGGACAGGAGACACACGCAGGATTAGCCTATCGGGGGGGGAAACTCAATCTTGGTTCATGCTTTTCAGCAAATAGGTGATGGATTTGAAACACCAGAAATGCTCAACATCTACGTACTGCAGCCGCTGAAACTACACACAAACCTGGAGAAGTGCAAGAGGAAGGAGGACAAACGTTTACCACCGGAAAACCCAGAGGTTGATATGTAAACGATGCTAATCAGCAGTTAGCATTCAGTTACCATCAGTCGGCTTAAAACAAACACAACTACAAAACAGTCAACAAACACCGAACCCGCATGTTTTTATTTTCAGGCTCCATGATCTCAAAGGTGTGTAATTAAATAGATGCTCACGTGAAAAAAAAAAAGGTAACAAGTTGCAGCACTTATACTCCTAATGGGAAGAATATAGCAACTTAAATGGTAAGTAAAACCATTACACAGTGTTTACAGTACATGACAGGCATGTGATGTACTGTACGTACTGTAAACATCTGCAGCTCTGTCCCTGCACACATCTGTAGGAGAACCCACAGATTTGACTGGTGTGGCAGTTTTAGGCACATTTTTTACAAAATGTTTTTGTCCCAACTGTCTGTTGGTTTTTCTTAAATAAGGAGAGATTCATCTCGTTCCACATAGAACCGAAAAGGAAAAGTTTGTTCCAGTAGTGTGTATAAAAGGGAACAAAAACAAACAGGGTTTCCCACTGCACACACACACACACACACCATGGGCATCGATGTCATTGATTTTATTGATGGATTTGAAATTTTCTTCTTTTCAGGCTAGAGTGAGCTCATCCTGAAATCAATTTCAAAATTTAAACCATGTGTGTGCGTGTGCGTGTTTTTTTTCTTATTGAATTTTTAAGTTCAAAACCAACTGTTGTTTTGTCTTTAACAATGATACTGAAACTACAGAGCATTTGTTCTTTCATTGCATGTTCTCTGATGATTTCTGGCAAGATGTTTTTAAACGGTTACAGCCAAGTGTTTCTCATCTGGGAACGTTTTGACTGAAAGATGTTATTTTTGGTCTTGTGGAGACGGTGGTAGGAGTTCGTTCCCCCAGTTGGTCGATTTCCTCTCCGTCCGCCCATGTCGTTGTGTTCTTGCCTGCCGGTGGCGGTCAGATAGCTCGGTAGCTCTAGCTTTCCACCATCAGTGGTGTGGTGCACCACAATGAGAACAAGTAAACATCGCAGACTTTTTGAGTTTTGCTTGTTATCCACAACAGATCATCAGCTTAAGTTCCCGCCCGACTTTCTCGTGTTGTGCTCCTCAGCGGTCTGCTTATGCACCAGCCTCACTGCAACTTCCTGTCTCCTGCAAGCCTCATTCCTGGGATGTTTCTGCAACACACGTCACTCTCCTGCCTCTGCACTCGTCTCACGTGGATTAGCCTGCCTCTGTGTTTGCTCAAGTGCTGTAAATACAGTAAGCCCTCTTCAAACGATCTGCTCAGTCCGAGTCTGCATTCTCCTCCACTGTCTAACAGAGAACGGGGCCTCAGTGGATGAGATTAGACAGCTGCTTAATGTGGGAGGAATATATGATTACGTGGATACTAACTAAAACAGAACAAAACACAAAAGTTTGGCAAGGTCGTCTGTCTTGCAAAGTGCCTTTGTAAACTTGTGTGTTTCTAACTGGAAAAAAAAAAAGAAAAATCAAGACTCAAAGGTCACCATGTATACAAGTAAAAACATTCTGGCATTTCAACTTCAGTAATTCACTGCAAAAACAGAAAATCATACCAAGTAATTTTAGTTTTTAGTGCAAATATGAAATATCACATCTCTTTTAACAGGAAAAATGTCTTGTTATAAGTGAAATAATCTGCCAATTGAACTAGTACTTTTTTAAATCAATACTAAGGAATTGTTTATTTAAATCAAATTCTTTTATCTTAATGAAAAGTTACCTGTAATTTAGTATCATCTTATTTCAAGTGTGCTAGGATATTTGCACTGGAAACTAAACAAAGAATACCTGGTAAGACTTTCTTGTTTTTGCAGTGCAGTCACACGGATCTCATCTTAAAGCAACATGAAGTCAATCGCAACAACAAGCTGCACTGCTACAACGTGACAGTAAATGAGCCCAAGCATAAAGAAAAAAAAAAAAAACAAAACCTCAAAAACCCACAAAAGTGTGAATCTCCCCTGTGATTCATGTAAAAGTGCACGTAGGTTGATCAAAGAAAGATTGAATCCAGGAAGCAACGCCGCATTTACAGTAAACGTGGCCCGAGCCGTTCAATTACGTTCCTCTACAGCCACCATAAGGGCTGCTTGATTATAGCATAATTATAAATAAGCAAATAATTGATTATAATTATAGATTTCATTTCTCCTAGCTGATATCTAAAGACATGACAAAGTTCAACCTTTGGCTCGGGGTGGGAAATTCAGCGCCCCTGCTTAGATATGAAAAGTACATATTAAGGTTTACGTGCAGTTGCGTAAATCTATTTATTTTCCGTCAAATCGTCAAAAAATGTTAAGATATAAAACAACCTGAAAAAATACAAAATACACTTCTTAGAGGAGGGAGAGCTATCCAAGTGTGAGAAAGTCATCCCCTCTTTTGTAAAAAAAAATCTAGGTAAATAACCAAAGTTTTTGATTATGTGAGTTTAATTTCAGAAGCAACATCCAAACATTCAATCCTGATCACTACCAGAGTCATGAAGTCACCTAAAAGAGTAAAAAAAAAACGTAGCAGATCACGGCCCAATCTACAGAAACTAAAGAACAACTAAGAAACAAACTCACTGATATGAATCCGGATTTATACAGCTTTGAAGCAGTTGTGATTACAATTGCCCAAATTTCCCCATAGCGACATCACAATCACTATGTTCACTTTTATCCCATAGGTCCAGGTTGGTTTGGACAGATTTCAGTCTCTGTAAATAAACTCCTTTTTTGTATTTACTCTGGTTATCTTTGATATGATTTGAAACAGTTAAAAAAGAAAGAGAAAAAAGAAAGAAAAAAACAACAACAACAACCCAGAAGTAATCTGTGAGGGAGTGGGGGCTGTGGGGAGTGAGGGAGTTTTTCCACAGAACCCTATTCGATGCATTCTTTAGCCTGAGACTGTTTTCTTGAAGTTAACACACCATAGCCAACATGAATGCCATTTAGCTTCACGGTGAATGTCTTTCTAAGAATACCTCGCTTAAAGCTGCCAAAGTAAACCAACGCCTTGCTGCCCTTGAATTTGGAGGAATGTCATCAGATGATGAGGATACACCCACAGAGCTATTCACCCAACTCTAACCCACTCCCACAGTCTACCAGAACCATGCTGAACGGATGTGGTGGTAAAAACAAAAACACTCTCTCAGCCGTTGGGTCCAATTGCAACTCCATTATAAAAATTGAGTTTTAAACGCTTCCACGATAATGCTGCTCCTGCCATTGTTCTCTCGGTCTGGAGAGACCGGTCTGACTGGAAGGCCCATTACCAGAGATGTAAACAAATGAAAGACGACCGAGTGCTCAAAGAAAATCAGATTTCACAAGTGGCTCAACCATGCGAGTCAAGGCGAGGGAAGGTCGACTCATCCATATCTTTCCAAAGTGCCTCACTGCATTCAAGCTCCTTGTTTAAAAAAAAAACTAACAAAAAAACTAAGAGGGTTGGAAAAAAATGCGTAAGGCAGAAAGATATAAGCTTCGAGCGTCCTGTTCTCAGAACAAAACACAGTGACCTCACAGTCAGACGGCTACATTCGATGGGATTTTGTTTCTCAATTTCGCCAACGCCGACACAAACTTGACAATTTCATGACTCCTTTCACTCATGATAACTCTGGCCAAGTAAAGTCTTCCCTTTTAACCACAGATTAACCTCAACCACAGACTGGAACACCTTGGTTCATGGCATTCTAAAAGCAGACGGATCAATAAAGCATTTTACTAATTTTGACCATTATTTGGAATTTCCAAGAGTCTCCTTTAACCGTAATACATATAGGGAACATTATTTTTCCCACTTACTAACAAATTAGCTTGACTGGGTTGTATCAGTAAGTAAGTCCTGACACAACCCACTGAATAAAAAAAAAAAAAAAAAAAAAAACTGAAAAAAAGCGCAGCCCACAAAAACAGAGTTCTCGCCAACATATTTCACAGTAGGAACGGCGTGTGTAGCGTTTCCACTTTTGGTAAGAACATTTAGTTGCGGTCTTATTTGAACAAGTCTTTTTCCAAGCATCTATTGTTCCCTACATGTAAACAGAACTTTCCAGTGTCTTCCTTTTTTTTTTTAAAGCCTTCCCCAAAACGGCTCATATTTATCCTGTCGACCTGAGGTGTGGCAGCCACGTTTTGGTAGGTTTGCTCTTGTGCCACACCGTTTCCAGGTTGAAATGATGGCCTGAACAGTGTAATCGAACCCCGTTGTAAAGTTTTAAAGTTCCTGCCTGAAACGTCTGCTGGGATTCTGGGTTTTTATTGATAGGAGTGCATTTTCTAGGTTTGTAAAATCCTTTGAAAATCACTTTATCTCACTTTGACAATAATGCACTACTTTTTGTTGGCCGTGTCGCATGATATCCCAACATGGAGGTTTTATTGCAATATGACAAAATAGAGAGGAAAGAAATGCTTAAATAACATGAAAAACATGACGACAAACCTTCGCTCGTCAACTTTAATCTCAGGTTTTCATTATAAAGGCTCACAGATGCTTACCATCAGGAAG